CAAACCTGATTTAGGAATCTGATGCTCTGATACCAAGATGATGAGAACTCCAAAGAGAATAATGAGACCCACAGCACGACAAGGGATTTCTAAACTCCAAGAAAGCTAAATCAGATTTATAATAGGACCTTAACCCGTTGTTTATGTCGCAACAAGAACCAAAGGTAAAATACTCGACCCGAAAAGTAATTCTAATCATAATAGAACTAACACCCTAAGCCCTAATCATAATAACCATGAATTGGGCCTTAAATAAATGAATGTTCAGGCCAAAATAATATAAAAAAACGTGAAAATCACTAAAAGTAACCTAAAGTAACATGAAATATCAGTTTGTTAAAAATTGCGACAGAATTGCAAAATTGACGCAAACTGTGTAATTTAGCATAAATGACCTCAATTAAGCTTCTCTTGAGCCTGAATGTTGTTTATCATGCCTTGATGATCATCCAAGCTTCGATTGACTTCTTGCATGTTGTTATCAACCTAGATTTGCTCAATAAGGCCATTTAAAGCTTCTCGCATCTTCTTAGCTCTAGCTCTCATGATTGGACCTCCTGAAATGTGCAATGGATCTCTTGATGTGGTGCATGTGGGGTCATCTTGATTCCCATCACGAGGCCTACCAACTTTACATGGAATGGCCTCATCGCTAGTAGTCTAGTTATGCTTCTTGATTGCTCATTCATTGATTCAAAGAAAAACACTTTGATTGACGAGTTGGTTCTTCCCAATGAAATAGAATGTCTTCCTCTTGAAGTTGGAAATAAAATATTTTCTACACACTTAAAACCTTCTAGCAAAGTTGATTATCTAACTTTGCCAAATAAGCTGCCAACTCTCCACGAGGCTCAACCTACACTTGCTTCTCTAGAGTCTCTTGAAGATATTGATCTTGGGATGATCCATCAAACCCCAAATGTGTACATATTAGCACTACTCTCTTCGTTGACGAAGGGGTTAAGATGATCAAATTGCTTTTAGAACATAAAGATATTTTTGCTTAGACTTATGATGAAATGTTGGGACTTGATCTGGTCTTGGTAGCACTCTCTTTAAACATTGATCCCAATGCAGAACCTGTTGTACATCCAAATCGTACCTTCCATGCTAAAGTCACTGTCATGATTAAAGAAGAAGTTGAGAAGCTCTTGGCTATATAGATTCATCAAGCCGACTAAAAAACCCACTTGGCTAACCAACATTGTGCTAGTTTGAAAGAAAAATGGGCAAATCAAGTGTTGTGTTGATGATGTAAAACCATAGAGAAATAAAAGTAAAAAATGAAAAGAAGTAGAGAATTAGGCTGGGAAAATTATTTCAATTAATCAAAAACTAATTGTAATGTTGTAGCAAGAATATTTATAGGGGACTAACCGTAGGTCCAAATTAAATACAAAAGTAATTATAAAGTTTCTAGAATTATTGAAGTTACTAAATAAGTCCAAGTACTAAACTAATACTTAAACTTCCTATGAAAAAACACTACTTAAAAGACTTACACCCTTTAGATTGTTCACCATCATTTTCCCTTGGTTGAAAAGAACTTGATTCCAAAGAGGGAGAAGCCAAATATTCTTCAAGGAGAGCAGAGGCAAGATCAAGAAGTTCCTATTCATTCAACCAAGAATTATCTAAGGGTGGACATCCTTTTCATTGCACCAAATAGTGATGGAAGCCTCCATGTTTAGAGCCAACAAATTGATCATCCAAAACCTTGATAACCTCCTCATAGTAATGTGCAAGAGAAGGCTCTTTAGGGGTGGTTGTACTTGCAATGTTACTAGCAAACAAAGCAAAGGGTTCAAATGTACCTTTATAAGGCAATAAATCTTCTACATTATAAACTGGACTAATAGAACAATGATCAAGTAAATCAAGTAAATATGCATTACATTCAAGATTTTGTAGAATGGAGTAAGGCCCAATGGCTTTAGTAAATAATTTTTTTGAAGCATTCTTTGGGACACACTTGGGCAAACCCAAACCATTATAAAATCACTAACATTAAAATCTTTAGCTTTACAATGCACGTCAATAACTAATTTATAATCAATAATATTCATAGCAATTTTTTGCCTAATCTGAACATGCAAGTCATGGAGGTGTTAAGCAAAATATTCAGCAGGTTCAGAAACACAAAAATTAGGTGGAAGAGGAACAAGGTCAGTAAGTGTATAAGGTTTGTTACCATACACATTTTTAAATGGACTTTTGCCAGTGGTATGGTGAACAAAATTGTTATATGTAAACTTAACTGCTTCTCGCCAATACAAAAACATATAAGATTTCCAACATTAGGGTTAACAACCTCAGGTTTGGCTATCAGTTTGAGGGTGAAAGGCACTAGAGAAGAGAAGGGTACTACCACAATTTCCATAATGTCTTCCAAAAGTAATTGACAAACTTGACATCTCCATCTGACACAATTGATTCAAGAAAACCATGTGACTTGATAACTTCTTAAAATAACAGTCTAGTGACATGAGATGCATTAGTAGTTTTACTACATGGAAGAAAATGTGCCATTTTAGAGAAACTATGAACAACCACAAAAATGGAATCATGACCTTTAGTGGTTCTTGGTAACCCTAAGACAAAATCCATGCTTATCTCTTTGGTTAAATACCCAGTTTGGTCCATCAACTTTCATTTTTTAACCAAATCTACCCTTGATTATCCTTGAACTTCAATTTTTTAGACCAATTTCATAATTCCATGGACGGAAATGCCAAATGGCACATTAAGTTGCCACAAAATCAATTCTTATTTTAAATCTTTAATAACATGGAAAATAACTTACTCACCATGGCATTTTTGTTGTCCATGTCATATTCCTGCTACTTCATCCCTTTCCTTTAAGTGCAGTCTTCCTAAAATATTTCTATATTTTTTATGTTTTCTATATTGCTATTAAGTCATATTTCTCTTTTCACCTCCTATCGTTCATCTTCTCCAACTTCAGCCTACTTCCTTTGATCCAAATTCCTATTCACTAGCCTTTCTCTCCAGCTTTGACCTTCACTTATCATCTCCTACTGTTCATCTTTTCCAAATTTTCTTCTTAACCAGTCACAGAAGAACTCCTTTCGATACAAATTCCTGCATGAGAGAATCCAAACAAAATACACACACAACCAACTTACAAAATCCCATTAAAACCCAAATCGAATATAAATTCCTTCAATATAAATTCCTGCACAAGAGAATCCATACAGAATACACACACAATCAACTCACAAAACCCCATTAAAACTCAAATCGAATACCAAAAAATAAACACACACAAAAAACCATAACCCAAATACAGATTAAAATCAATAAATTTAAAATTTTGAAATAAAAAAGATCATAGAATGAAAAGATCTACAACAGCTTCCTTTCAAACCAAAGAAAGAAACGAAAAAAAAAAAAAGAGAAAGAAAATATGGAAAAGGAAGTAGACAAAGAGAAATCCAGGTCCAATTCTTGAGCTATTGTTCGCCGATAATTAGGCTAAGGAACCCAGATCTGAGTTCTCTTATACACCCTCTTCATGCTAGCCTCTCACTAGACTATAATCGATATCTTGCTAACTCGATGCTTGCTTTTCATCGATCTCTTGTTGGAATGCAAATCGATGTGGAGAGAAGGAGAGCCTGCAAACCCTAATCCCAAATCAATCGAGCCTGCAAATCACTAACAGAGAAAAAAGGAGACAGAGAGGGAGGTGGAGATCAAAATTGAAGAGGAGGAGAAACGAAAAGACAGCAAGTGGGGATAAAGGTAAGAAATTGGCTTAGATGGAAATTAGATTTCTTAAGTTTTTAAGTTAAGCATATTTATATAAGCTAGAAATGGTGATCGGAGTGGTAAAGGATGACCAGAGCAATGAGGGATGATCGATGCAGAGTGGGTTGCAGGGTGAAGAGGCATTTGAGGATAGAGAGAAACAAGAAGCGAGAAAAAGAGGGGTTGGAAGTTGAAGATGAAGGTATTTAACTAATTTAAAATTTTTTAATGTATAAATTAATTAAAATGACATGGATAATAAAAATGACATGTGGGTAAGTTATTTTCCACGTTATTAAAGATTTAAAATAAGAATTGATTTTGTGGCAACTTAACATGCCATCTAGCATTTCCGTCGATGGAAGGACGAAACTAGTCCTAAAAATTGAAGTTCAAGGATAATTTTAGTACTTTTTGAAGTTTGAGGATATATTTGGTTAAAAAATGAAAGTTGAGGGACCAAACCAGGTATTTAACCTATCTTTTTCTAAGGCATGTGAAGAAAAAGAAGGGTAGTGTACAAACCAGTATTTTGTTTTTTTGCCATAGACTCTTAACATGTACAATATTGAGAAACAATCCTAAACACATCTCTTTTTAAACTAGGCCAATAAAACAAATCCTCAACCAAGGCAACAGTTTTATCCCTTCCCAAATGGCCAACCAAATGACCTGCATCTAGTTCTCAAACTAAAAATTCTCTAAACAAAGTTCATGGAATACAAAGTCTAGTAGCTTTAAAAGTGTATCTACCATGCACTAAAAAGTCTACATGATCTTTACGAGTTCCACTCACAACCTCACTATAAATCATACTAAAATCAGGGCATGAAATGTGCTTATCCTTTAACCTATCACAGTTGCGACACTAGCATGTAATGCATGAACAGTGCAAACTCACCTACTAAGACCATCAACAACCTTATTTTCATCCCCAGATGTATGTTTTAAAACAAATGTGCATTCATTTAAGAACGCTACCCACGTGGCATGTCTAGCATTTAAGTGTTTTTGATTATGTAGATATTTCAATGCTTGGTGATTAGAATAAAGCACAAACTCAAAAGGTAACAAATAATATTACCAATAACAAAGAGATTATTGAATAACAACATAAAGTTCTCTATCAGAGGTGGAATATTTTTACCTTGTTTCAAATAATTTCTCACTAAAGAATGCAATGGGATAACTGTTGATGACCAAACTTAAGATTTCAAAATTTTAAAAGGAAAATAAAATAATGAAGAATTAAGTGTGAAAAATATAAATGAGTCATTACTCGTCCAAATTATAAGGTGAGACAAGTCACCAAAAATAAGTTTACGCAGAGATCGAGGTTTAGGGCTCAGTTAGGAGTAAGGAAGGGCATACGTACACCTCACAATCCTCCAATTAAACACGATTGCATACTTTAACATTGGGCTTTTAATACAACTTATTCATTAATTTTACGTTTAAGTTTAGTAAATAAACTAAAAAAAAAAAGATAGAAAAAATTGCAACATTTTAAAACTCTTGGACTAAAATGGAGGAAATCAAAGACATGCATGAGCACAAAATAAAAATTAAAGGAACTAATTTGATTAAATTATAAATGTGAGGGATTGATTTGCAAAGATTTGAAACCTTTGAACTAAATTGCTTGATATAAAAGTTTTGGGTGAAATTTGAAATAAATAGAGATAATTTTGACTTTGATCAAGATTAAGGAAAATTAAAATTTAAGTTAATTAACTAAGATAATTAACTTAATTGAATGATTATTTTAACATTAATTAAAATTAATTAATCATATTTGTTAACCTTTAATTAAGATCATTAAATAAATCTAATAATCTCAAATTATAGTCAATAAATATGATTAATTTATTTTAATTAAAGCTAGATAATTTCATCAATCATAAATGAAACTAATTAACTTAATTGATAACTAATTCTACATATATATATATATATATATATTTGGTTGTTTGTTTTTGTTTTTGTTTTTTTTTTTGTTTTTAGTTTTTTTGTTATTGGATTGGACTGTATCTACTTAACCCAAAAAACATGATCTGAGTACGAAAATAGGCAAAAAGAAGATTAAACATGCAAACAAAGTAGGAAAGCTAGGGTTCATCTAATTCCCAACGAAATTTCTACAAAATATTCATTCAATTTCAGATTCCACAAATATTCATAGCATAATAACAAATCCATCGTTCATTTCTCAACAATTACACAAATTTTCAACATCAATCACCAAAATAATACATCATAGAGAAATAAAAAAAATCTAAAGCATGGATTTCAAGAGAAAAATGGATCCGAGTCTAAACGGAGGAATCCCACCCCTGGGATCAAGCTCTACTCATCACCCTCACTACCCCTCTCGAAATATCTCTGATGGGAATCAAAACGACAACATATCTACTACGTCATGTGATCCATTACACACCCAAGGAGGTCTAGTCACATGAGCTAGAGCTAGGAAGATGCGAGAAGCTTTAAATGGCCTTATTGAGCAGATCTGGGTTGATAACAACATACAAGAAGTAAATCGAAGCTTGGATGATTATCAAGGCATGATAAATGTCATTTAGGTTCAAGAGAAGCTTAATTGAGGTCATTCATGCTAAATTACACAGTTTGCATTAATCTCGCAATTCTGTCGCAATTTGTAACAAACTGATATTTCATGTTACTTTAGGTTACTTTTAGTTATTTTCACATTTTTTATATTATTTTGGGCTGAACATTCATTTATTTAAGGCCCAATTCATGGTTATTATGATTAGGGCTTAGGGTGTTAGTTTCCTATTCTATTTAAAATTACTTTTCCCTATTTAAAGAGGCTTGTAACCCTAATTGGGAGGAGGCTATTGAATCTGAGTTTTGAGAGACTTTTCTCTTTGGTTTGTTTCAGAACTTTACAGAACTTATCAAGATTATTCTTGTGGCATTCTAAACTGACTTATCATTCTTGTTTTTCATCGTTCGAGGGTGTGGCGTCAACCAACTTTATACCTGTGGTTCTTGTTGCGTCATAGACAACGGGTCAAGGTTTTTACCTTTGGTTCTTGTTGCGACATAAACAACGGGTCAAGGTCCTATTATAAACCTGATTTAGCTTTCCTAGAGTTTAGAAATTCCTTATCGTGCTGTGGGTCTCATTGTTCTCTTTGGGGTTCTCATCATCTTGGTATCAGAGCTATCCTACTTATGACAAGGAGATGTATGCATTGGTAAGAGCTTTAGAGACATGGCAGCATTATCTTTGGCCTAAGTGTTAACTCAATGTACTCCAAGAGGGGGGTGAATTGGAGTTCCAAAAATTATCCCCTTTTTAATGCACAAAACCCAAATTAAAGAGAGTAGAGAAGAAGAGCTTGCACAATGAATTTATAGAGGTTCGGTCCAACAACTTGGAGCCTAGTCCTCTACCTTGGCTTCACTCACCAAGGATTTCCTCCACACTCTTCACTAAGAAAGACAAGGGTGGCTTAAAGGAGCCACTCAATCCTTTTACAACAAGATGAGTATTTCTCTCATACCTCACCCCTTTACAATGTAAACCCCACAAATCCTCTCAATAAATCACTCTTGAAGGAATCAACACACCTCCAAGATCACTCACTAAAAGCACAAGAAGAGGATTACAAGCAATAATCACTCAAAGATCAAAAACTCAAGTTAAAGCTCAAGTAGGTAGGTAAAGATATTCAATGCAATGTTCTCCAAACTTGTTCATATCTGTTACCAACCATATTTATAGCCCCTTGCTCGAAAATAGCTATTTCTAGCCGTTGGGGGTCATTAAATGCTCTGCAGGAACAAAGCTTGAGTTGCAAGATTGTCAAGGAGCCGGCTTAACTTCCTAGAGCCGGCTCTATACACCCGGCTCACCATTTCTGCAGCCGACTTTGCGGGGTTCCTACACATTCTGTTTTCTTCGAGAGCCGGCTGTAATACTTTGAGCCGGCTTTGGAACTCCGACTTTAAATACATTAAATATTCTTCAAAAGAGTCGACCGTTGTGCATTAAATGCACCCTCATAGCTGGCTACAAAGTTGAAGCCGGCTTTGTGTCTTTTCTTCGCGCGCGCTGAACAACGGTCTTCAAATTTTTGCCCGTAGAGCCGGTTGCAGCTTCCAGAGCCGGCTCTCTACACTTTCATTTCACCAGAGCCAGCTGTAGCGTTTAAGAGCCGACTCTCTGCACATTTTGAATCCTTTTAGTTTATTTTTAGTGCAATCCAAGTTTACTTGCAATCTTTTAGCAACTTAACTACACACTTAAATAAACCAATGAGTCACTCAAATGTGTTTTGTAATCATCAAAATCATAGGTCCAACAATCTCTCCCCCTTTTTTATGATGACAATACACTTTGAGAATTAATTAATGAAAGCACATATATACTTCAATATTGACTAGAATTTCAGCACAAGGTACTCTAGAAAATGACATTAAATTCAACATATTCTCTCCCCCTTTTTGTCATTCATCAAAAAGCACATAATCAACAAACTCCCCCTTAATTCATGCACATCAATCTTTAAAGCATTTAAGCATGATAACCATTAAGAGAAGTAATTTAAGCACAAAATGCTCCCCCTTAATTCATGCTATCAACCTTTAAAGCATCAAGAATATGTCATGAATATAATCATCAATCATCATCAATATAGCACCATAGACAACCAAAGTCATGAATACAGTCATCAACCAATAAACTCCCCCTCAATAAGAGCATATAATCATCAAAATCATAGACAATCAATACCAAAAGTCATAAACTGCAGGAGAGCCGGCTTAACTTTAGAGAGAGAAGACTCTCGGGTGTTTTGGTTGAGCCGGCTCTACTGTCCTTGATTGGGACAAACAGAAGGTTTGGGGCTGTTTTGAAGACAATGCATCTTAATTTAATATTTCTTCATTCAACTAAGTTTAAATTGGACATCAACTACTAAATAATGTAACTTTAGTCATAGAACAATGTATGCATCATCAAATATCATGAATATAATCAATGTACACAAATTAAAGTAATCAATATGGACAAATTTTAATAAGCAAATTCATTAATTTCAAGAATCATATCAAGCACTAGGATCTAACATACCAAGCTCATTTCTAATGAAGAAAAACCTATCACAATCAAGAGGCTTTGTAAAAATATCAGCTAATTGATTTTTAGTGTCAACAAATAATAAATCAACATCACCATTAGCAACATTATCCCTAATAAAATGGTGCCTAATTTCTATGTGCTTGGTGCGAGAATGTTGGATAGGATTTTTAGTGAGATTGATAGCACTAGTATTGTCACATTTAATAGGAATATGATAGTAATGCCAAAATCCAAAATTTGTTGTTTCATCCAGAACACTTGAGCGCAACAACTTGCGGTAGCTATGTATTCGGCCTCGGTTGTAGATAGAGCAACACTATTTTGCTTTTTGGAAAACCATGATATGAGCATATTACCAAAAAATTGACAAGTTCCACTTGTACTTTTTCTATCAATCCTACAACCCGCATAGTCCGCATCCGA